CTCCAGCCGGGCCACATCCCTTTTGAAGTGCGGCGCCCAGTACTGGACGCAGTACTCCAACTGTGGCTTGAGCCAATTCGCATAGAGGGGGAGGATCACCTCTCTGGACCAGCTTGAGATGCACCTTTGGATGCATGACAAGGTATGACTGGCCTTGCTGGTTCCGGTTTGGCATTGGCAGCTCATGTTCATCTTGGAGTCAATAATGACTCCAAGATCCCTTTCCGCTTCTGTGCTTTCAAGAAGGGAACTCTGCAGCTGGTATGTATGCTGTGGATCCCTTCTCCCAAGGTGCAGCACCCTGCATTTGTCTACGTTGAACCTCATCCTATTCTCATTTGCTCACTTTTGTAGGCTGTCTAAGTCTATTTGCAGCCTCTCCCTCCCTTCAAGTGTGTTCACCTCGCCCCACATCTTAGTGTCATCAGGAAATTTAGACAATGTGCTTTCCACCCCCTCGTCCAAGTCGCTGATGAAGATGTTAAACAGTGTGGGCCCAAGGACCGAGCCCTGGGGGACCCCACTGCTCACATCTCGCCAGACTGAGTACAACCCGTCCACCACTACTCTCTGGGTGTGCCCTGTCAGCCAATTTTTTACCTATCTAACTGTGCAGGCATCAATGCCGCTGTCACTTAATTTATTGATGAGGATGGGCTGAGAGACAGTGTCAAAGGCCTTCTTAAAGTCTAGAACGACTAGGACCATGGCGACACCATCATCCAAGGATTTAGTTACTCGGTCATAAAAGGCAATCAGGTTGGTCAGGCAGGACCTGTCTTTGGTGAACCCATGCTGATTGCCCCTGAGCATGATCTCTCCTGCAGGCTCCCACAGATGTGCTTGATGATTCTCTCCAAGATCTTCCCGAGCACCGAGGTGAGGCTTACAGGCCTATAGTCACTTGGGTCCTCCTTCCTCCCCTTCTTAAAAATTGGGACCACATTAGCCAGTTTCCAATCCCCTGGGACCTGGCCAGATGACCATGATTCCTCAGACAGCTGGGCCAAGGGCTCCGCGAGGACCCCTGCCAGCTCCCTCAACACCATTGGGTGGAGGGCATCTGGACCTGCAGATTTAAAAATGTCCAGCCCTTCCAGAAGATCCCGAACTACATCTGTGCTGACTGAAGGCCTGACAGAGCAATGCCCGAGATTGCCCCTACCTCTGGTAGGTGGGATGTCTCGGTCCCTGTTCAAGAAAACAGAGGCAAAGAAACTGTTAAAAATATCAGCTTTCTTGTCTGGTGTAGCTACAAGATTACCGTTTGCATCTTGCAGGGGCCCTACATTGCCTGGTGCCCTCTTCTTTCTCCCAATATATTTGAAAAAGGACTTTTTTGTTGTCCTTAATCCTGGACGCCAGCCTGAGTTCCATATCTGCCTTGGCCTTCCTAATAGCTCTCCTACACTCCTGGGCCGGGGAGGAGTACTCCTCCTTGGTGATAGCTCCTCCCTTCCACTGCTTGTACGCCCCCCTTTCAGTCCTTAGCCATTGCTGAATGCCCTTGCTGAGCCAAGGTGGTTTCTGAGCACTCCTGCGCTGCTTTCTTCTCTCAGGGACTGTTATCCTTTGGGCCTGGAGGATCGCAGACTTAAGGTATGACCATCCCTCGTGGACGCCCATCTCCTCAAAGTTCTGGGACCTCAGTGCCTCCCCCACTAGTCTCCTAAGCTCATTGAAATTGGCCCTTCTTAAGTCAAGGGCTTTAGCCTTGGTGTGAGCCCTTGAGGCCATGTGTTGGATAATGAAATCCAGCAGGCGATGATTGCTGTTGCCCAGGTGGTCAAGGACCTGCAGTCCCCTCAC